TTCTTAATCTACAAGCATTAGGAAATTAGCTCTAATTACCTCCCAAACTTTATATCATCAAAATTTGCGCGACAATGCAGATTATTGCGTTACATACCACCAAATAACTTGTCAGTTAAGTTTGAAAGAATGACAAGAGAAGGATAGAAAATCCTAATATTCATTTTCGATTTTGCTAGGACTTATTTAATATAACTGTAGAAAATGTGTCTTCTAATCCCCAACTTCCTCTCCTGGATGTGCAATTTTTATGTGTGAGAAGCACTCAATAGTGGACAAACTTGTTCCACACTGAAATTAATTCTGAAAACTTGTGTGATATTATGTATGAGTCAGCATTTTCAGTAATACTAATATGTGTTTCGCCTCGAGACTGGAATCCGTTGTTTAAACGAAAACAGCCAGGTTTTTTTTACCGATTACATATATATTCCGTAGTGTGACATCTTTGACACAACACTACATTGGAAATGATATAGTAAATTAGAACATTTCATAATAAATAATATTTACCTCAGAACATGGCCTGATTGCAGCAAGCACAAATCCCGAAATATTGTTTTATGGAAAAAGAGTTTAGATTCCAGTCTAATTTTGTTAATATTTACACAACTTGGCCCAAACTTCGGAATTCTTCCTCTATATTTGCCAATGTTGCTGTACACATAATTCAAGAGGTTTGCAAGTATGATTCCTAGTTATATATATTCAAAAACAGATGATTACCGCCACTTTTCTTCCCATAGGCCAGACAATAGAAACTGGAGTGAGCAGCAAATTTTGAATTATTTAGTGAGAGAACATCTATATAGCGGAAAGTGAAGTTAAAAGGATACTGCTAACTTCTTTTCTTCTGCATAAGAAGTTCCTGTATGAAGTCAGCATCATATGAATAAAGGGACAAGTCGACAAGAAGAGGAGCACAGTTGGTTCCCATGGGAATGCCGATTGTTTGTTGAAAAACACGTCCTCCAAACGTAAAAAAATATGTTGTCATCAAGAAATTAAGCATCTTGATAATGTCAGTTTCAGAAATTTTTTGTTTGTTTGAATCAGAGTGATTTTGTACAAAGTACGATCTATCCCTCACTAAGACAAGATACTTGTATCTACGTTGGCCATTCGGGTCAAGTAGGATAAACGGTGCTGTAGTTCCATCGGAAGAACAGAGGAGTAAATCGGTTTAACTTAAGAAGTAAATCGGTTTATATGTACATAAGTTGACAGACTAACATGTCGACAGGTTGACACTAGAAAGGTTGACAAGTGTAAAAGTCGACATGTTGACAAGTGTTAAGGTCGACAAGTAAATGGACAGGTCGACAAGTGTATATATCGACATGTTGACAAGTGTAAAGGTTAACAGGTTGACAGGTTTAATTTTACAATTAAACAAGTAAATAGGTTTAAAAATATACGAAATTAATAAGTTGACAATCTGATAAAAATAAACTGCTTACTATTGCGTTGTTTTCTTTTGGAATAATATTTATTTGAAACTCGTTCTGAACCTGCATGGAATATCTGTCATTTAGCAAACAAATTTATGCCGAATTTAGCGCCATAGGCTATCTAATAGCTGTTTGTTTTGTACATTAGCCATTGACCATTAACTATTTATTTGAATACAAAACTAAATTGTAATTAAGTAAAATAAAATTAACTTCAGTTTTTTAACCTTTGTATTAAGTCTTGACTTATTACTGTCTACTTGTCGACCTGTCAACTGTCAACCTGTTAACCATTATTAGTTTTCATTTCTCACCGTCAAATTGTCAACCTGTCGACTTGTCAACCATAACTTCAATTTTAACTATATTAAATTGTCAACTTGTCAACCTGTCAACATGTCGACCAGTCAACCATAAAAATATTTTCATTTTTAACATTGTCAACCATTCAACCATAAAAATATTTACATTTTTAACACAATGTCAACCTGTCTACCAGTCATTTATTTTTTTTCATTGTATAATTAAATACCTTTATTGCCCATGAATACATACGCGTATAAATTTATTTTAAAAGCCGGAACTATAGTACCGTATATCCTACTATTTTTATATGAAACAAAGCAGGACCAACTCTTTCAATTTGTCTTTTAGTTTGGTATTGGGAATACTTGTGTAAAGTCAAATGTTTTAATACTATTGCTAATGAAAGAGTCTTAGATTGTATGTACTCTAAAAGACCTTTGGAATTTTGTAGTATCCACATCTGATTTACACCACCTATAGAATAGGTAGTTTCACAATTACTTTGAAGCCCGGCTTTGATTGCTAATACAATTGATATTCATAATTTAAAAACAGGTTTCATGAAGTGGATTTAAAGTTTTGTAGGATTGTAAATATGCTTTGTTTTAACACCTAGCACTTTCATAATTTTACTATGGTTTTCTACAGCAGTTGGTAAAAATTTTTGACCAGTTGATAAATTTGGTTTGATCAAACAAATTGCAATTTGGTAAGAATTTTGAATGAACTGCATTAGGTGAAAAGCAACAATTACCGTCAAGTCACTGTAATATAACAAAGATGTTTACCTAATTTACTATCAATAGTAATTAAGTGGTCCTGCATAATGGTGGTGAGGGTCATTAACCACAATTCGTACTGGGGATCATAAATTTATCATTTACTCACAGTGGTAGCAACATACTGGCTCTAAAGAAAATTTTCAAAGATTTTTTTTTAATTCATTTTACCTCAATGTTGTATTTATAGAAAAAGTTGCCATGTCAATTGTTTGTCAGATAACTTAAATTATTTTATTTTTCATTACCACTTTACCAGTACTATGTGCAATAATTATTTAAGTTATTATGCAATTACTAGTGAACCTTACTCAAATTAGGGCTTCTCCATCAAAACATACCCCATTTGACTAGTTAACAGATAAATTTTGCACTTCTTGTCCTTGCACACATAAATTTTTTCCTTGCGCTATATATATGGTTAATGCATGATAGATTTTTTCCCACTCCTAACATTGTCTTGACGGTGGTCCCCTTTTCAAAATCCTGGATCAGCACATGAAAATGTTCCATACAAATAATGCTATCAAAATTAAAAATGTTAGTATTTTTGTGTGCAAAACCTGTCCTGTAACAATTTTGCAATAACTCAATAAAATGCTCCGCTGGGCACAGCTTGATACGACCGCAGAGGTCGAACCCTGAACAGTTGGGGCAAGTATGGACACAACATTCAAGCTTGATACAGCACTGAATTTGGATTGTGATTAAATATTTGACACAGCATAGGTTTCTGACACAGAATGAATGTGATCTTAAGAACTTTAAAATTTTTAAGTTACCTATTCAAACCATATCATTATTATTTGCTTTTATATATAGATCAGAAATAACCAATGTAAAATGGAAAATTTTAAAGAAAAAAAAAGGAAAAAAGGAAAAAAAAATCCCCCCAATTTGTTGAACCCCCTTATGATTCATCACCCCCAAACTCAATCCCAGCCTTCCCTTTGTGGTATGGTACCTTGCAGTACAATTTCAGAGAGATCCATACACTTGAACACAAGTTATTGTCTGGAAACTAAAAAAATGCTCGTTTTTTTTCCCCTTTTTGGCCCCAAATTCCTTAACGTTAAGGGCAATTACCACCAAACTCAAACCCAGCTTTCCCTGTGTGATATAGAACCTTGTAGTACAGTTTCATAAAGATCCATACACTTACACACAAGTTATTGTCCTGAAACTAGAAAAATGCTCGTTTTTTGTCCCTTTTTGGCCCCTAATTCCTAAAATTTTGAGGAAATTACCCCCAAAATCAATCCCAGCCTTCCCTTTGTGGTATGGTATCTTGCAGTACAATTTCAGAGAGATCCATGCACTTGAACACAAGTTATTGTCTGGAAACTAGAAAAATGTTTTTTTTTTGCCCCTTATTCCTTAATGTTTTGGGCAATTACCCCCAAACTCAATTCCAGCTTTACCTTTGTGATATGGAACCTTGTAGTACAATTTCAGAAAGATCCATACACTTACACACAAGGTATTGTCATGAAACTAGAAAAATGCTTGTTTTTTGCCACTTTTTTTGCCCCTAATTCCTAAAATTTGGAGGCAATTACCCCCAAAATCAATCCCAGCATTCCCTTAGTGATATGGAACATTGTGGTACAATGTCAGAGAGATCAATACACTAACACTCAAGTTATGTCTGGAAGTTACAAAAATGCTTAATTTTGGCCCCTAATTCCTTAACTGTTGGTACCATAACCCCCAAAATCAATCCCAACCTTCCTTTTGTGGTATTGAACCTTATGGTAAAATTTCATATAGATCCATTCACTTAAACTAAAGTAAGAGTGCGAAAACCAATGTGTCTTCGGACGCCAACGACGACGCCAACGTCATACCAATATACGACCGCAAAATTTTTTTGCGGTCGTATAGAAATTGCAAAATATCTGGATTTAGTATTTTTCTCTCATGCTTATCCTTACAAAGTCAGGTAGTCTACAAATACCTTATATGCATCTCTCAAATATTTGTTACTGTTGCAACTTGATTTGGTCTTTTATTACAAATGCAGAAATATATATGTGCTAACAGTTGCTTTAACATCCATATTTTTGTTTACTCAATTTCTTAATTATACGTTTTAACTAAAAGAATTTTTTTTATCTGTACATAGGTTACCTTTCTATATTATTAGAAACTTTTTTTAAAGACCTTCATATGTTACAATCTTAATTTAAATCCAATCGCAACAATAAAACAATTTATATTCAATTATCACTTATATAATAGCCTTATTCAGAAAAAAAAAACATGCCTTTATCACACTATCCTATGTCCATGTTCAGTAGATGCATAGACCATGTAGACCAGAAAACATAATGTCGCTCTACTACATGTATCATAGACGGAACATAATTAAAAAGATTTCATTTATTATCTGGTGTTGGTAAGGTTATAGTAAATAACAAATATAAGGGTTTGCACTCATGTCTTTAAAATAATATAAATGCTGTTAATAATAATCTTATTTTATTAAAAATTGTCAAGAAAACCATTTTCCAGATTCATTTTCTATTTTGGATTGAACAGAGTCCCTGAATTCTTCATCTACGTATTTCATGCCTCGACACCTTTTTCCAGTAACAGGATCTCTGATTTCTCCCGTTTTAAACACATGTTCATGCACTTGATGAGTAATTGTTGGACTAGCTCTTTCTTCAAGTTCTTGTATTTTAACTATATCCCCAACTTTACTTTGTGTTTCTGGAGTTTCTGCTGCCCAAAACTGGTCAGGATGATTAAAATACTGGAAAGAACAAAAAAAAAAATATAAATTTATATTTGACTGAAAAAAAATCACATGTTCATGTTTAGGAGACAACCATTTAGTTTTCTTCCCAAGACAGGATAAAATTTATTATTCTTCTCAACAAAATGCAGCAAAAAATTGTGTACAAAAGTGAAAATACATTTTGGTACGTCTTTGCCTCACTAAATAAGCCAGCCATCTTAGCAACTGGAGATGTTGGGATATGACAATAACGAAAGATATTGTCGGTAGGTCAGCAAAACTCAATATTTTTTTATGGGCAAACCTGTAAATTATCCGGTTCAAGAATGAAATCAGGATTTACCTATACTACTGGTTACAAGACATTTGTTGAAGTTATTTTTGTCAGTCAGATATTTTTTAACTCGGTTTTACATAATACTTGTTGACTATATTCAGCTTTGTAGTGGTTGAACAAAAAGAAACTTGATGTCTAGAAAACTACTGGTGAAAATATAATTTGCACAATTTTTAGTGGAAAAAGTTAGGGTTAGCTCTGTCTAAAAAAATAGGGTTAGACAGGGATTGAAGTTAAAATTTTGGCATGGTAGCCCACAACTTAAATTTTGTAGCCAATGTATATATATAATGTAGTTCTATACAAGAAAAGCAGAAATTTTAGGGGCCATTGGCAAGTGGGCACTTGCTAATTTCAAACCCTGTTAGACAGTGCATTGTTAACAAACACATTTTTTCTTCAGCCTTAGCATGCATGAATAGATTGAGATCTATACACTGACATTGAAGCTCACAAGTAAGTTAGTCTGAAGACATTTCACCTACTCAAAATCATTTTTCAGAAACATGTAGCCAGCTGACCATTTATTGCTCCTTCTACTAAATGCCAAATGCCATGTGCTTGACAGAAAAGCAGCAAATACCAATTTTAGTCTTCGGTAAGCCTAGGGATAGTACACAAACTTCCACACAGAACTTGAGTGGAGCCCCTTACTACAAGATAGTCCTCAATCCGTTTGGCTTCAATATGCTTCCAAAGGTATCATGAATGGTAGAAGGATCGACTTGGATCTATACACTATGGCCCTGAAAAACCAACAACATTGTTGCGATATAACATGTTACTTTTTTGTAGAACTCTTTTGTTCTTTTCTGTGTTCTTCCTAAAATATTATGACAGCATACATACATGTAGGAGCATATATATGATCAATAGTCTGCAACTTTTGAATTTGTGCACTTTCCCATAAATTTCCTACATCACCACATAAACAATGCTTATGTTATTACCTCATAGTAAGAACTGACTATTCGATGACGTCATTTACCCTGATTGACTTCGGATCAAACGGTGTAAATCATTCATAAAAAACCAACTTGAGATGGGTGTATTTTTTGCAAATTTGTATATCAGATTACCCAAAGTATGACGATAAGTAAACAAACATGCAGAATCCGTAATTTGAGTTACTTTACTGGTCTGCCATTAAGAAGGGGTAAATAGTGATTATCATATTTGACTACCAAATCGAAAACATGCACTACTTACAAACAAGTCCGATAAGAGATCCTTACTAGATCAAAGTAATGGATCAATTAAGGTTAAAAGAAATTAAAATTGTTCAAAATCAACTTTTTCTACAGTCTAGCGGTCAGTATAACAAGATGAATGTGGCTGATTTATGTCTTATGAAGTAATTTCTGCACATTGTCATTGATCTCCAACATTACCCCAAAAAATATTTACCATTAACAGATATTTATCTAGGACCATTTTTGGTACTCGGACTTGAACTGAGGGTATCCTTTCTGAACCCTTTGCAACTACTTGACCAACCAAGAATTTCCTAATGTTCGATGATGCCATTATTTGATTTTCAAAGTCACCACATTTTTTATTTATTTTTATTTTGAGTCAATGTTACTTGCATGCTTAATTTCTATTTATATCATACCGTATTCTTAAACGTTCATGTGATCAATCAAAGTTACCTTAGTCAGATACGGAATAGACACAACTTATTCCCGTAAAGTTATTTTGTCCGTCCGTAAAACCATCTAACCTAGTTTTAATACATCCGGTTGGCTAATCCACGTAAATACATAGATTACTAGCCTGGCAACACCTTCGTTTTAGTGTTTTGTTCTAAAAAAAAGGCGAAATTAACATAAATATCACCATGAGGTCTTAATGACTGGCTTTCGCCGCTCGCACAGCTAGTATACAACTGAAACTAATGTTAAAGAGTTAAACTTCCGTATGTCTGTTGGGCTTATTAATGGATAATTGTATGGCTTCGTTTGGTAAGTGACACTGAGACTTCTATAACGTTATAGTGGTAAGCGAATAACAGGTCATCGACGGTAAGAAAAAACTTGAAATCCGGGCATAGCTAGGTCAATGCCATGCAATCCTACAAGACGCCCATTTAGGTTTAATTGACAGACGACGGTAGCAGCCAAAACTGAACAGTAAGACAAGTACTGGTGTCGACAGTCTTCTATTCAAGCACTGATGAATGGACAGATGCTTTGGGACCTTATTGTTCAAGTTCTAGCTGCAACTTTCACATCTGCAAGTTTTAAAGAGGCTGAGTGGTTTTTAAGGGGCATTCGTAATTAGGCGTCAAACCCATTGGCATGTTCACCGTTTTGACCCAAATTCTCATAGTATGTGATTTATATCTACTAAAACGTATATCCAAATTACAAAAAGTCCGAGCAAAAGAAACAACAACGCATGGGCTCGCTGCAATTAATGTATCAGCATTTCGTACGTATTTTAGATCAGACTCCATATCTAATAATTATCCATCCAGATGATCCCGAAGACTGCCGACGATCATATACACCGATATAAACATACGTATAAATAGATAGCGAGCACGTGCAATCATATTTTTCTAGGTCTGTTTGATTTTTTGTTACATGTAAAAATATATGTAAATCATCGGTTTACCTGTATAAGGATGATTTTTTTGTGGGCCGGATCAGTCAAGGGAATGGTTATTTCCTTGTTTCACTTTTCAATGTTGACATACAAATGTATTTTTATTTTTAATGAATGAACATGTTGACCACAACTTGCTGAATACATGCGCAAAAAGGACAATATAAAGGTTGCATGAATACGAATTTAAATCAGGAATTATTGACTTGCAAGTCAATTATGCACCAGTGATGTTTTTTTAGCTTATTTGGACGAAATTTATTGTACCAAACTGACTGCTTATAGCGGGATATTATTTCTTTAATCCACTTTATAAATGTTTGCAACAACAAAAATCGTAGTTTATTTTTGTTCAAATTCGTAGCTAATGCCCCCTTAACAGTAGATTACAGTTAAGACTACTATGTACATCTCATATGTAGTAGTCTCAGATCATACCAAGCTTGGAACTGCTTGTAATCGTTAAATGTTTAAAAATGACATATACATTTGGCAACATTTTATTGATGTGTTTTACTGACATAGTTTAAGCCATGTAAGAACAAAACTATTGTTAAACTCCATAATATGATTACAAAAGTTGGATTTTCAAACATAATTCGGGTTTTCAATTCTTGTTTTAATTTTTAACGGAATATACTGAACTTGCTTGTTTTACTGCTTCAACTTTGTACTGACACTGAATTTTTTAGTCCCGTTCCATGATTCAAACGAGATATCAATGCAGTCACCTACAGTGATATAGTTGTCATTGGTTGTAGAAAAGAAGTAGTAGCAGATTCGACGAATATTACGTTATCCAATTCAATACAGCAAGAGGATGGTCAAAGTTTGAGAATCTAGACACATAATATGGCAATGTTTGTACAATTATATTTTGTATACTGACTTGCACGTGCGCAACTCAGTCAGTATTAAAACAAGATCGCATTACACCGTACATAAATGAAACAAGATTGGATCGAACTCCAACTAGAATTTCAAGCATAAATGCATTACAACATCCTTAAATAAAAATGAATTCGTCTTAGACATGAAACTTGAGCACATGCTAACGGAATAAAGATATTGAACTTTACCAAAAAATACATCTACCCCTTTCAACGTTAGTAATTACTTATATGAGGGTCTGCATGGATGGGGGATGGGGGTCTAAATACCTGTATTCTTTTTTTTATTTTTTTATTTTTCTTTATCTTTAAAAATAACGCTTCTTCTGTAAAATTCTCATGAAAATGATTTTACTATTAATTTTGTCTGCTATTATATGATTTCTTTAGTCTGTATGATATCGTTCATTTCTGTAATCAGTATTATATTACCCAATTCTTTATTTTCAACAGTTATTCTTCATACCGTTGGACCCCTCTCTATTCATTTTTTTGTCATTTTTCTCTTTTCATTATATTAATTGGCCATTATTCTCTATTCTGTGAACCCCATCCAGACCAACTTATATGCTTGCAGTTGCAATGCGAATTTTGAAGATATAGATTTGGTAATCAAATTTACATGTACGTGATTTTGCCGCGGATTAACACAAAATTAAAAATCGAGAAAATGTGAAACCCATTAAAATTATATGAATATGTTTCCGTCAAAATGATTGTTGAACTTTACTTTTTATCTAGACGAATTGAAAGTATCCAAGGATGAAAAGAATGTTAGATTTAAAGATGTGACTGTGTATTATTTCCCGAGAGAACAAGGATTTGGATGTGTACCACACGAAGGAGGTTCAACATTAGGTAAGGTAGATAACCCATCACACAGCTTTTATCATGAAACATGGGAAATTTTTATTCTAGTAAATTATACTTCGAAAGAATTTTTCATTCTTGCAATATATTATTCTACTTTGTTCATATTTTTTTCGCATACAATGCATTAAATGTGTTATTTTTACTTCATATTTTGTTAACCCATTTCAGAGACATGCATATATAATATTATATCTCTACCTTCGTTTTGTTATAACTTTCTAATTGAATCATAATTAATTTTAATTCACAACTTCTTGAATTTAAAAGTAATTTAAAACCAAAAAAATACTGCATATCAAAACCAATACAAGCACTGCTTTCAAAAACTAAAACTATTTAAAGTTTCAACATATAGTGTCCAAAATTTAGTATATAAACGAAATTCCAAACTCAAATTCTTATTTCACATCATCACAAGGCGGTAAAACACAATAATAAAAATCCAACAAAAAGTATTAGAACAGCTTTGGAGACAAGATCATAGAGTCTCTTGGGCGAATTTCAAACGAGTCAACGGTAAAGGAACAGGGTGGTCGGGTTGTTGTCTCTTTGACACATTCCCCATTTCCATTCTCAATTTTATATTTCATAGGTATAGATTATTTAATTGTATAACGACATGTATTTTTGTGAGGTTTGCTACCCTTCTTTTATTTATTTGCTCCTACAAAACTTTTTATACGCAGGAATGTCTTATGGCCATACTGACTTTGATACATATTCTTTGGTCGATCATGCCAAAATGAGAAAAAGGTCATACCACATGGCATTAGGAGATTCGATTGAAGCTAATCAAAGAAGTGAAACACTTACTCAAAACGTGTCTGATGAAACAAACAAACTAGAAGAGGAAGATTGGTATTATTCTACCAAACGTTTTAAACCCGAACACAGACTGACACCTGCTCAGCGACGTTTACTTCTACGGCAATCAAGTTTAATAAACGTAGATCGAAATGAAGCGGACGATTGTAAGGAAATTCGAGATTCAAGGAGAAAAATTGGCTGTAACTGCAAGCGCATGTGCGACCCAGACACATGTTCATGTAGTGTGGCTGGTATCGAATGCTTTGTGGAGGACGGCTCATTTCCTTGCCGATGTAGTAAATCCATCTGTAGAAATCCACATGGATATATTGAGTACAACGCAGACAAAGTTCAGGAACACTTTACTAGAACCATGGAAAGAATGAAAAATTACGGAGATACTGATGTGCCAGCGTAAAAACAACTATATTTTGTAAGAAGCGTTTCATTGAATGATTTTAACTTGATCACGTGACATGCATTGGCCACAGGTGCTTGTTTGCTTTATCAGTTGCTTGGTTTTATCATTGACTAAAACGTATAAGTGCCGAAATATTTTGAACAATTGCAATATAAGAACATGTCTTAATTTAGTTTTTGTGCAATATAATATACAGCATTAATGGTTAAAACTTCTATACATATATGTTTTACAAACACAACTATTAAATCCGTTATAGTTTTTGTTAAACAGTTTATTATAATCTGTTATCATGGTAATATATTGAAAAAAAAAACTGAAATCACACGTTGTTTATATTATATTGAGGATAAAACGGTATGTGTTTTGTTGTACATGGAATAGTACAATTCATAAATTACTGAAAAAAGATAACAGGTATTTCAATGGAACATTATTTACCTTAATAAGCTCGCCAAGTTAGCTTTATTAGCTTTATCACTCCTTAGAATCTAGTAGGTAATTTTTTAACCAAATTTGACATTTTGAATAATGTAAGGAAAATCATTTAATCTTTAATCCACTTATACAACGTATAGATCTTCACTGATACCCGAGGTAAATCAAAATTCAGTTTATTATGTATAATGTATAATGCAAAATGATTTTTTAACTTCATGCTGAAAAATACAGCAATATATTTTTTTTATTCTTTTTTGTTTAAACAAACAAGAATGCCCATACGGAAATGCCTCGCCTGCTTTACCTAACATGATTGATTTATTTTGAATGTCTGTAATATGAAGTTTTTACTTCAAGTATCACATTAACTTACCATTATCAATGATCCACGTAACCTTACAATCATACCATACACCAGATATAGTTAACCTGTTGTATCTGAGAAACAAATCTAATTACCAAAATTGAACATTGACCAATGAACCATAAAAATGAGGTCAAGATCAGATGAACCTAGCCAGACAACATGTACAGCATGCAATCATTCCATACACCAAATACCGTTGACCTATGGTGTATATATTAGTATCTGAGAAACAATAACCATGAAAACTTAAGATTTACTAATAACCCATGAAAATGAGACAAAGGTCAGATAAATCCTGCCAGACGGACATGTACATATTACAATCATGCCATACATAGTTGACATATTGCTTAATATAGTATCTGATAAACAGTCAAAACCATGAAACTGAACATTGACCAATAGACCATAAAATTGAGGTTAAGGTCAGCTGAAACACGAAAATGATATCATGGACAAAGGACATATGACAGACGGAAACATCGCAACATAACGCATCTGTAAACAAAGTATGAAGCATCAAGGTCGTCTACCCTCTGAAATATAAAAGAGATGCGAAAGATACCAAAGAGATATTCATACTCGTTAGTCGAAAACAAACTGACAATGCCATGGCAAAAAAAATGAAAAAACGACCAAAAGACAAAGAATATTCTACAAAACACAATATAGAAAACTAATAGACTGAGCAAAACCCGGTGATGATCACAGGTGTTCCTGAATGGTAAGAAGATCCTGATCCACATTGCTCATTTAAGTGAAAATCCGGTTATAAGTCTAATCCGGTAGGTCAAATTCGAGGAAATGAGGACGGGATTGCGGTTTCGACAGTTGGTACATAGTCGTCGTCATCTGTGAAACATATTTCATTAGGGTCAACCAACTCGTGATGGCGTCCGTCAATAATTCGAAGGGATGATTTCAAATTCACCAATTCATTATTGGAACTCTTGGCTTAATGGCTTCGTTGTTAGCAGCAACCCTTTATCAAAGAAATCATAATAGGAATAGCAAGCTCTGGAATATCACACATACGCCATATGCAGGTGCTGCTGGAATGTTGCTGCATAGAACTGGAAAATTCACAATAGGGAAACTGAACTGATCTCTTTTGTCGTAAAGTTTTGTTTCCAATCGACTCTCATTGTCAATTTCTAGATGTAAGGCAAGATATGAGACAGGCTTAATTGCATCTGTTATATCCTTTACTTCAAGTTCAATGCGACAGATGCGTTCAATATAGTCACCAAACTTTGAATTAGTTAGTGAGAGATCATTACTTATAAAGCAGAACGTGAAGTAAAAAAATAATCCAATCTTCTTTTCATTCCAAAAAAGCTGCTGTATTAAGTCTCTTATGAATAAAGGAACAAGTCGTCAAGAAGAAGAACACAGTTGGTTCCCATGGGAATGCCGATTGTAAAATGAAAATACGTCCTCCAAAACGTAACAAATATATTAGTTAATTAGTTCACTATGTAGCATCATTACCGAATATAGTCCCCCCGGTAGTAACAAATGTGATGTCGGGTAAGGTAAAATTCTTCTTATCTACGTTTTTCAGACAAGTAAAGTTTTGTGATACTGATTCCTAATAATGCTTAATTGGCTTTCTCTCTCTTCAAATCGTCAGAATCTGACCGGGTGGAACATGTTCAAAGAAGCATGTGTCGAGTTCAAACTTGTTAAAACACATCTATCCTTCATCTATTCAATTGACGTTTTCGTAGATCAAAGTTTATCGTATTTAATCTTGAACAACACCGTATTTCGAAATAAACTATTGTTTTCACAAGAAAATTCATGAACATAAAGCGGATAAATTGTACATCGAATAGTTTTTACTGTACGGGGAATAGAATAGATACTTTTTGCAATAATTGTTTCTTTGCTTCGGGTACTTAAATCCTGTGGTGATGCTACACAGTGTAATTGTCAATCATGAAATCAAACATCATGATAATGTAATTTTCAGAGAATTTTCTGTACGAATCAAAGTGAGTTTTTATAAATAGTACGATATATCCCTCCCTAAAACAAGATATTTTATCTGCTTTGGTCTTTCTGTTTTATGAAACAAAGCAGGACACATTCTTTCACTTCGTCTTAGTTTCGAATGGAAAATACTTGTGTAAAGAGTAGTAAAGTCAATTGCAGAGGAAAAAGACTTAGTTGTATCAACTCTAAAAGATCTTTGAAATTTGTTAGTCTCAACATCTGATTCACACTGCCTCTCGTGTATGTAGCTTCACAATAATTGAAGCCGACTTTAATTTCTATAATCAAATTGATGTTAATTAATTAGAAAGAGGTTTCTAGGGTGCATTAAGAACTAGCAACATAACTGTTTGTACACTTATGTAATTTAGGTATCCAATACCGTGAAGGAATATCCAGTTCTTCATCTTTGGTCGACATTCCAATGTACACGTATATGGTCTCGCGAAATCTTTGCGCAGTGCCGAGCAACGCAACTAATTAAGTCTTCTCAAAGCTATTAACAATTAAACCAGTCTTCAATATACAATTAAAACTATATACAGCCTGCGCTGACTACCTCCCCTCAGAGCCTGCTTTCAGATCAGCTCTGAATCCCTCTATTGTATATGCCGAAGTGAATTTAGATGGTAGTTGATTCCAATCCCTGGTGGTATTAGGGAAGAATGATTGTTTATAGGCGTTGTTGTTTATTCTTTCTTGATAGAAACGGCCTTTACTTCTTGTTCGGCTGTCGTTTGGGATTGAATTATGTTGTCCGTCTATATCTATGAGCTGATGCTGTATTTTAAACAGCATACATAGTCTGTTGGTTTTTATTCGTTCTTCGAGGCTTTTCCGTTGTAATTGTTTTATCATGTTTGTTACAGTCAGTTGTTCTGTCTGTGTAGTTGTATTGGACAGATTTAGCTGATCTTTTTTGCTTTTGTTCTATAGATTTTATCTATTTTTGGTTTGATGAATCTTACTGTAAGTCTTACCATGGATGTATATGCAGCTGCTTTAACCGGTCTATTGCAATCTTTGAGGTTTCGTCAGATAAATCCCGATGTTGTATTTTATCTGCCTACAATGTTGTCTCTGTGTCTATCCCAGGATAAGTCGTTGCTGATTGTAACGCCTAGGTATTTGCTGTCTTCAACATTGTCGAGTGTATATCCGTGAAGTTTGAATGGTGGATCTATTATTTGTTTGTTCTTCTGTGCTATTTTAATAACTACTTGTATACATCTTTTGGCGTTAAAGCTGATTTGCCATTTATTTTCCCCAATCTTCCAAAGGTGTTAGGTCTTTTTTCAAAAGGTCACTATTTGCCTGATTGTTGATCTTTATAAAGAGAAGGCTAGCGTCTGCAAACCATTTGGATACCAATGATGTTGCTGTTTCGGGCATGCTATTTAGGTAGGTCAGGAACAACAGAGGCCTGTGCATTTTGGGTACACCAGAGAGTATAGGGACTCGCGAAGAGACAGCTCTTTCTAGTACAACACTCTGCTTTCGATTTCTAAAGAAAGAACGGACCAATTGGTTAGCATTAAAGTTGACTCGTTAGTATTATATCTTGTGTAATAGACGATGGTGTGGTACTTTATCGAATGCATTTGCAAAGTCAAGTAGAATGTCGACTTGGGAGTCTTTTTCTATTTTTGTTTTTGCAATGTCATGGATAGTTATAATTTGTTGTGATTTGCATGATCGTATTTTGCGGAACCCATGTTGTTCGTTGTTTAGGATTTTATATTTGTCAAATTAGTTCATTCTGCTGCTATAGACTATGTGTTCCAGGACCTTGCATTTAATGGCGGTTAGCGATACAATTAGTCTCTAAGTGGAAGCTAAACTAAATATATTTCGTCTCTCTTGAATATGGAAACCACACATTAGCTAAGGTAGCAATACACGAAAATAAAAAAGATAAAAACTTAAAAATGACACTCATAGTTTTTAACCACCCTCTTTCCCTTGCTTTCTACCAAATAAGGCTTACTGTTTGTCATGTATGTACATGTGTATGGAGACATCATCCTCCATAGATTTGATTTCCATTAGATAAAATGGTGAAAAATAATCTCTTTTTGGTGTCGTCATGGCAACAATCTGCATTTATTTGATATAAAATAATGCAAATAAGGGGTGAAAATGTCACAAAATCCCCCAAAATTTGGTCCAAAGTAGGACATCAATCCATTGGAGTGATACCTTTTCTAAAACCATTGGTATTTATCTATCAAGAGGTCAAATAAAAATCATATGCATTTCACCTCATTTTTTTCATCAAATTTATTTGAAAGTTCGAGCATATAATACTTGTTGGAAAACACTACAATAATTTTTGGAGCTATAGGCGATCTGGATGTGAAAATACGGACTGTCCAACAGAAATTGACCTATAAAACATGCAAAAACAATCTTGATATTCATATAAGCCCACTTTGAAGGCCATATTATTCTTCATCTATCTAAAAGTTTATCTTATTGCACAATAACTTTAATATTTGAAAAACTCACCGGGGCGAAAATG